CACAGAAAATTAGAATTTTTGCTTCTTGAATAATGGAAGGTGTTGTGCTTTAGCAACCCCCCTCACATCTCGAGATAAGTGGCAGATACCATATTGAACTCAAATTAATCCTCATTTTTCCGTTTGCCACACTTTGCTTCTGCATTTGTTTGTTTGTCTTTCAAGTTTGATATTTCATTTTGCCAGTTCCCCGCTGAGCTGGTATTTGGAGTTGGTTCACAAGCTGCTTTGCTTTTTGCTGATGATGTGCTTGCTCCAAAATATTTATTCATTTATCTTTAAAAAACCTCAGGAGTTTGGGAGGGAGGGTTCCCCTCTAACAACCTCTGTAATGGCTGGTCCAAGGAACTGGCTGGCTTCCAGCTACTGACATACAGAACTCTTCATGAAACCAGACAGAATTAAACCCTTTGTTTCCTGTTTGGCAGAGAGAGCGGGTGGGGGGGAGGGGGGAGGAGAAGGAGAAGGAGAAGGAGGAGAGCACACACCAAGATATTGAAGTTCTCAATAGGGTTGCCAGGTCTGCTTCCAAAAAATAGCGGACAAGCGGGGGGGGGGGCGGGTTAAGTAGTAAAAAAAAAATTACAATTAAATTATATATTTTCTTACAAACATTTTAACACGTATTAAAATAATCACTTCAAAACTTTACTTAAAATTCAAAACATCAAATATATTATAATAATATGTAAAATATTAAATTACATTTTACTTTGCTGTCGTGTATATTTTTTATTTGACTGCGCAGCTTTGATCAATTCTTTGTGTTTAAGGAATAATTCTTTAATTTCAGTACAACATTGAGAAATATTAAAAAATATACAAAGTTCACTTCGAACTGATGGTACAAGCAGTTGGTTACGTTTGTCAGTCCACAAATTTCCCATGATGCTGAAAATTCGTTCAACATTTGCATTTGATACCGGAATTGATGCACAATACTGGAACAGTTTCAATAAACTCGGAGCTGGCTCTTTCTTGAAAAAGTACGTCCACTTATCAAGGGATGAATCACCCTGCAGATGAACATAAACTTCTTCTAAGGCAGAAATTTCATTGAAGAGAATGTTGGGTGGAAGTTCTTCTCGCCATGGTGATAATAACCAGATGTTCGTCATTTCTTCTAAAGTTGGAGGATTATTGCGATCAATTAGATTGAAACAATTTAGCATCTCATATACTGAATCGGTGAAATTATACCACTTTTCTAGGTACGCAATGGCTCTTTGATACATGTTGATGGCTTCTTTCTTGAACTTTTGCACGGCATTCTCAGGCAAATGTTTTTTACGTAAGGCAAATAAAACTTTCAGTCCAAAAACTGCTCATCGTATTTTTTTTGCAAAGAATCACGCAGCTTACACTTGATAATGTGAAGATCACATGCAAGAATTTTCTTGCTTTCCAGCTTCAGTAGGGTGTCTTGCATTATTGACATGAAGAAGTGCGTGAAATATAAATCCAATTCTGAAATTGTTGATTCATCGTCCTTTGCGAGTTCATTTTCCTGATCCGAAATAAGGTTCCAGATAACCTTATGGCACTCATCAGATCCAAGAGAAATAAAATATGATTTTAGAGGTATCCAGTTTAAAAAAGTCTTTTGACCGCTTTAAACAAACTTAACCAAAGTGTTGGAACATGGCGCAAAACTTCATGGAATTCTGACTCGCAAAACTCAAAAAATGATTTCAACTCTTCTCGTTTCTTCGCAGAATTCGAAAATTCAGCAAAAACCTTCAGCACTACATTTTCGATATCAAAAGATAACTGCTTTAATGCATTTTTTGCGCTGTTGTGTAAAATGTGATTATTGCAATGAGCATTCGATCTTTGTCTCATTCTAACTTATGAAAAAAAAGACAAAACGCGATTCTCCTATCCTTATTCTCTTAGACTGTGCAGCTTTAGATTACGTACCATTTCATCATAAAGCTTTTGAATAAAAAAAATGTCCACTATTTTGTGTGAAAAAAAATAGTGAACATAATGTGAAAAAAGTGGACTGTCCATTCAAATAGTGGACACCTGGCAACCCTACAAGATCATCTTTGTATTAATTTAATTAGTTAAATGAAGGGGGAAAAAGTTAATTAGTTAAATGAAGGGTGTTTATGTAATAAATGCATTTTTAAGGGGTTAAGACAGTTGTGGCATACATAGAAAAGTGATTTACGTTCCATTTGCCTGCTGAAGCGTGAGCATTCTTAACAACGTGGAGTTCATCATTACAACCTTTATTTTTTATACAGCTTGAGAATGCTGACATTTGTGTGTTAAGTTTGTTGTGATAGCCTAGGGACCTGTCCAGTATACGGACCACTGTGAGTCTGTTTCAAAGCTAGTTCCAAAACTTTTTGGTAACAGAGCACTCCATCCAGGATGGGAGATTGCATTAGCTGGAAGCAAGCTTAGAAGAGGGCACTTAAACTGTGAAATTTCCTCAGCTCTAAATTTCAGCTATACTTCATCCCTCTGCCAACTTTTTGTCATCTAAGGCAGGAGTCCCCAATCCCTGGTCCACAGCATACCAGAAACTGGGCCACACAAACAAGCCCCATCCGCCGGATGCAGGCAGTACACAAAACCACACCCCCTCTGGTCTGCGGAAAAACCTTGTCCCTGGTGCCCAAAAAATTGGGGCCACTGATCTAAAGCATCCATCTCCTTCTATGGATTGATTGTAGAAGAACATGTTTATATTTCATCATGCAGTGATTCTGTGGAAATTATAACAAATGTTGGCTCAGCTCACTAAACCTGTCTGAGGCAGATAATACTAAAGATAGGATTTACTTCCTAAAGCTAATGTCACCCCAGCCTTTATTTATGTATTGGTTATTGTAAAGCCAATTGCAACTTTTGAGGTAAGGTAGCAAGGTTTTGTTTCAAATTTAGATATGCACACGATGCCTTCCCCAAGACTTATTAACTAATAACCAGGTAATTCAACAGGTTAAAAATAACATAAATAAATTCAGGTGCCAATTTGTGAACCTGTGTAATTGAATTTCTAATGAATAGCTGCCGAGGAGAGTGTAAGCCTTGGGATTTATTCATGCCCTTCTAATCTTGTTATTTTACAAGTATTCTAAAGTAAAAATATTTGTGGGGATTTGGAACAAATCAGAACAAGTAATTAAAAATGATCAATAGTGCACACTTCAAAATTCATGTTCCACTCTTAGTTATTCAGTGGCTAGAGGATGCAAATACTCTTAGTAAGTAATTGTTTTTCAGCTAAGTTAACAAACCTTTTTTAAAAATAGCCTTACCAGATGCTCCTTGTTTTGAGCACAGCCCCATGTTTCCATTTGACATTTAATAGGATATTATAGCAGCAGCATTCTGCTTCAGAAAGTCAGGAATACTGTCTTCCAGGAAATATTATTTCTGCTCCAAAGTAATCATTGCTGGTCAATACGTACAGGTAGTCCTCAAGTTACAACCACAATTGAGCCCCAAATTTCTGTTGAAAAAAGTGAATTTTGCCCCATTTTATGCCCTTTTTTTTGCAGTTGCTAGTAAATGAATCTGTCTTTCCCACTGATTTTGCTTGTCAGAAGGTCACAAAAGGAGATCACATGACCCCAGGACATTGCAACAGTCATAAATATGAACCGGTTGCCAAGCTGGTCCAAATTTTGATCATGTGACTACAGGGGATGCTGCAACTGTCGTCAGTGTGAAAAACAGTCATAAGTCACTTTTTTCAGTGCTGTTGTAACTTTGAACGGTCATTAAATGAATTGTTGTAAGTCGAGTACTACTTGTATTACATTATTTAGGCCCCTCCCCAGTGGTGAAATGTAAAATTTGTTACTATCGGTTCTGTGGGTGTGGCTTGGTGGGGGAATAATGTAACTGGGTGGGCGTGGCCAGCTTTTTTTTTTTTTTACTTTTAAAAGCATTTTTTCTAAGAGGTTGTAAAAAAATGCTTTTAAAAGGCTCTGATGATCCCAGCTGAGTTGCTTGATCGTCAGAGGCTTTAGTTTTTTTTAAAAAGCATTTTTTTTTTTGCTTTTAAAAGAAAAAAAAGCCTCTGATGCTCAGGCAACTCAGCTGGGATCGTCAGACAATTGCAGCTGAGTTGCGCGATCATCAGAGGCTTTTTTTTTTTACTTTTAAAAGCATTTGTAGAAAAAATGCTTTTAAATGTAAAAAAAAAGGCTCTGATGATCGCGCGACTCAGCTGGGCATGGGGGGTGCGCAGGGATTTCTGCTACTGGTTCTCCGAACCATCCACCGCCATCGCAACCGGATTGAACGATCCGGTCCGAACTGGGAGCATTTCACCCCTGCCCCTCCCCCTTTTAATTTTCAATGATGATATTAGTGTTATATTTTACAACACTTCAAAATTCCTCTGACTCTGCTTATGCCTTTTTCTTAAGTGGAAGATGGTTTTTTTTAGCTTGGACACAAGCTTAGAATGTGAAGATACTAGTATGGCTGCCTCTTTTCTTCCCTCCCAGATGTGAGAATCTCACTTCTCAACTCTTGGGATTATTGGACTGGGGAAGAACAGGTTAAACTTTTGTGTCCCTGTTAATCTCAGACGTGTTTATTATGCCCTGTTTCCTTGCTGATTTTTTTTTTATTTTCAAAACTGAAATTTGCATTTAAATATTTAATAACTATTTTTGTATACATCTTATCCTTCAACATACATTTCTGTATGCAGTTTAGCCTTGTAAAGTGCCTTACTAACAGTACAGCCAACAACTCTTGCAAACTTTACAAAATAGCAAATTTCAGAGATTAAATGAGTTCCACTTATAAATTCCTTGAATTCTGTTTCTCTTTTTGGCCTTCTTTCCATGCCACTTTAATTCTGGCTTAAGCAGTTAATTCCGGAACTGATGTAAGTGCACTTGCTATATATTTTATCTGGTTATCATCTTCCCCAAATTCCTTTTAGATGTTTGTATGTTCCTTCTTGGGCTCCTGGGTATAGATTTGTTGCTTTTTTTAAAGAAAGCTTTCATTCTTCTCCACAGACAGCAGAGTTACTGATCACTCTAAAAGTGCACGTTTGTGATTTGGAAGATACGTTTAGGAGTACAAACTGTATTTCTCCACCAACCAAGCAATCAAGAATGGTATGTGAAAACCTTTATACTTGCATTTAAAAACAGTTCTTTTCTAGATCTGTGGACAATGTTTCTCCTCTCTATTCCACACCAATCAGTTCTATGTGCAGGGAGTGTATATTCTAAACTTAATAGCAATAGCTATAGCAGCTAGATTTATATACCATTTCACAGTGCTTTATAGCCCTCTCTAAGTGGTTTACAGAGCCAGCATTTTGCCCCCAACAATCTGGGTCTCATTTTACCCATCTCGGAAGGATGGAAGGTTGAATCAACCTTTGAGCCTGGTGAGATTCGAACTGCCACATTGCAGGCAGCCGGCAGCCAGCAGTCAGCAGAAGTAGCCTGCAGTACTGCATTCTAACCACTGCGCCACCACCAAGCAATAAGCATTCACCTGTGTCCAGTATTTCTTAGTGTTTTCATTGACTTTTTTAAAAAATGTGGCACCTAATAGTATATATATTGCTTCACGGTGCTTTATAGTCTTTCTAAGCAGTTTACAAAGTCAGAGTATTACTCCAATAATCTGGGTTTACTCACCATCGAAAGGATGGAAGGCTGAGTCAACCTTGAGCCAGTGAGGATCGAACTGCTGGCTGTCAGCAGAATTAGCCTGCAATACTGCATTCTAACCACTGTGCCACCACGGCTTTAATCAATCTTTTTTGCTTGGATATAAAGCATAACAATTCTGGCTATGAATTAACAGTAGTTAACTGATAATTCCAGAACTGTATTTGAGACTCAAATCTTGCAACTTCATTTTTCACAGAAATCAAGTACTGTGTAACAATACTGATACCTTGGTACTACAGTGGTTTAAAGCACCCTGTTATTAACACAGCTGCCTGCAATTTACTGCTGGTTCGAATCTCTCCAAGGCTCAAGGTTGACCCAGCCTTCCATCCTTTCTAAGGTAGGTTAAATGAGGACCCAGTTTGTGGGGGCAATAAACTGACTTTGTATAAATATACAAAAGTATGAAGGCTATTGCTTAACGCACTGTAAGCCGCCCTGAGTCTCCGGAGAAGGGCGGCATATAAATCAAATTAAAAAAAAAAATACCCTTCATTTAGCATAGAACCTTTTTTCCAGTGCATTCTTAACCTCGAATGGTCACTAAAGAAATTATTGTAAATCGAGGACTACCTGTGTTTCAAGAATAATTTGGTAGTGCTTCACATCTCCATATTTTAATGGCCATTAATAAATCCCATTTTTGCTTACTATAAAATTCTTGCCCTTTTTCGATTGTTAGAAAAGAAATAGCATAACAAAAACGTCCCCCAAGGAATTTAAAGTGACTCTCAAGAACTGGGCAGCTCTTCCTTCCTTTTCCTATTGCAAGCACCCCAAATAGTAAGTTTTTCTTCTCTTCTGCTACAAATTCAATATGAAGGTGCTTCAGAAACTGCATGGCTGTTTCTTATCCCACAGAGACCACTTAAAATCACTTCTTTCTGGGGCTAAAGGTTGGAGAAGAGACAGGTTCCCATTGACCTTTGTCTCTTACCAATCCATTGAACAAGAGAAGAATTCCTAAGTCTTCTTTGCCACTAGGGAATAAAATGTGAACTTCAAAAGTTTAAAATACCCCAAGGATGAACTCTGTCTTCAAGGCCAGATTAAAATGCAGCCTAGATCCATAGGTAGAATTTAACTCTCTGGGCTTTCAACTTTCTTTTGGAGCTTCTTTACTTATTTATGTTTGTCTACCTTTCTGTCGAAGAGTGTGTTTGTGTGCGTGCACATCAGTGCATGCATACACAATGTCTTTGGAATGTGTATTACTGTCACTATTTCCATCCAAAAGAATCAGATTGTGTGTAAAGCCTTTCCTTGAAATTTCCACGACTGGACTGTACAGTGGTTAAAATGCTTGAATAAGTGGGCTTGAATGTGCCGTGCACTTTCCATACATTATGTATTTTTATCATCAACAACCTTGTAAAGTAGATTAGGAGATAACCTAAAACCTTATGCAGCTGTTGAGTGAGAGGATATGGCAATGGTGAACATCTGTTTTTTGGATTAAGGGCCATTTAGCAGGTTTGTCAAGAACCACAATTGAAATTTGAATTCATTTTTAACAGCTGCATGTTATTATACAAATGCAAAAGATTTGTTTGCTTTTAATTGCACTGAGTGATAAATAAAATAAAGTGGTATATATTGTAAATGTAGCCTGCTCAACTTTTTATGCCCAGATACCCACTATCATAAGGAATTTGATCTTGCAGCCAGGGGAAATGTAATTTCTTTGCAACTGATTCAAGGGCCTAAATCTCTCTTACCAAAGATTGAACAATGGAATATTTGTTCTTGAAAATGAAAGGATGGACGATCTAGGCATATAGTTATGGGTGAGACTGTAATGATTGTTGGACTTTATACATCTGACTGCACTTTACAACTTCGTTGCTGGTGCATTTGCTGAAAACCAAAGGGTCCTTGATCCAATGGATCAGCCCAGAATATTCTTCCTTGCAATGCCCAATCCCAGATCCATTGTCTTGAGATGTACAGAGTAAGCCCTTCTTTTGATGCAGCAATCACTGGGAACAAATAACAAAGCCACATCCATTCTTCCAGCCATCCTACCACCTCCTTCTCTGTTCCATGGCTTTTATGCAGAACAAGCCACAATAATTGCTAGTTTTCTCATAGACTAGGCTGTTTATAGGTCTCAGGAACTTCAAACCACTGGTTTCTTTCAGGCGATATTACTCATTCAGGTTGCCAGTAACTCACCAAGATCTCATGCCAAAGATTTCCAGTTCTTCTATCTCAAATCCTTTCTTAGCAGGAGATAAGAGGGAGTTCAATGTTATATATCTGAAGTGTTTGCTCCTTCTGTCTGCTGTGGCCCTCTTCCCTAAGGCAACCTCATAAACAGGGAGCAGCAGCTATTATCAATAAATGTTTAATGCCATCAAGGCATTAGACTATCAGCAGTAAATTACAGTGAGCTGTATATTGCAGGATTGGTGAAATAGGGCCTGGGGAAGGTAGGACCCCCACCAGCTCCCCAAATTTAAATTAGTGACTGTTCCAAATATCACGGGATGTTGAGTGATTTATTTGGAAAAATTGTGAAGATGTCAAAGATAGAAGGTGTTGTAATATTTATTCTTGAAAATGAAAATCTGGGCATACAGTTATAGAAGACACTGAAAACATTGTTGGTCTTTATAGTATGACTATAATTTACAACTTTTTTTGCTGATTTTCAGCTTTTTCAGCTAGTTTCTGGCAAAAAAAGGCTGTAGGAATGAATGGACTCATTTTATTTTCACAACATATAGACAGATTTAACCATAGTTTCAATTGGGAAAAGGTGTCAATCCTAGACCAGGCCAAATCCCAAAATGCCAGGGAATTTCTAGAAGCCTGGCACTCTGACAAACCAGCCATCAATAGACACATAGACATTAACAACATCTATAGACTATGCAAAAGAGACTATCGATCAGCCCAAAAGAGAAAAAGACTACAGCACCTCTCCACCAGATTATCATAGATTAACTTCAAGGTTAATTTCAGACCAACAATCAAGTAAGCAATACCCCAATCAAGAAACTGCCAGTGCCATCAGTAAACAGCTCAACCAAAGAATTCCTAAGACCTCCTCAACCCACACAGACAAGCAAGTCACCAGAATACAAATTGACAGCAAAGAGCACTCCTTACTACCGGTAGCACTGATAATGTTACCTAGTTAGAGTAATGAAACGTCTGCATGAAAACAAGCAAGCTCAGGGAGCACCAAGGATCCCCCCGAATGGACTCACTTTATGACTTTTGCAAGAAAGGTCACAAAATCAGGTTGTCCATGTGGGTGCCTTGACGTACAACCATGATGACTAAGAATAGAAATCAGGCTCCATTACATTTGTAAATCAAGAACTACTTGTATTAAAAGAAAGAATTGTATGCACGTAGATTTACCAGAGAGAAATTGTGCTTACTCAACATTGTGCAGTAAGCGTGATCCTGTTTCTTTTGTTACACTCTTTAGGGGCACAGCAATAATCTCATTACTTATTCAGTTCCTTTTATGCTTGTTTAAACATGCCCAATTACTGATAAATGCTTACCTCCCTGTGCAGGGCGGATATAGGTATATCTCTGGGACACTGTGAGAAAATCAGTGTTTATCGTAACATTTTCTTCCTTGGCAATTGGTCTCTTGAATTAAGGAGTCATTTACATTCTACACTGAGATCATCCCTCGAAGGATGTTTTTTTTTTTTTAGAAAAGTTTTTTTCCCTTCATTTCCTTCATTTTTGCAGTTTGCAACATCCTGTTGGGATTGATGAAAATAAAATGCAAATCTGTCCGTAACATTTCTATTTAAAACAAGAAGGTATGTAAAGGAAATAACTCAGTGAAGAATGAAAGTTGTCTTACATGAAGACAGACTAGCTTGGTTTATCTAACCTCAGATTTTGTATTGTCAGCTAAATTAATTCTTGACTAAATTAATTCTTCAGTTGTGAGGTTTTGTGTCTTTTTATTTTATTTATTTATTTATTTTAGATGCCAAGTAGCCAGAGCTTTTTTTAAAAAAAAAATTCCTGAGGGAAAAAAATGACTTCCAAATTATTTATTTATTGCATTCTTCAAATTTTTTTACTGATATTTCAGGGTAGTAGAAAAGTGTTAATTTGGAAGGAAGGGAGGGTTATCATTAAGTGGGCTGTACTGTTTTCTTTTAACTGCTTTTTAAAAAGTGCTTTCCACTACTTCAGAGACTGTGGAACTGCAACTAATGGCAGCTTGGGGACATTCCTTACTGAGAATGTCTCAGTGGGAATGACACTACATCAGGACATAATGTCATTCCCAGGGGCATTTTTGTTCCCCACAGTTGTTGGCTACATCAGTGAATCCAGAATCAGAATTACACAGAGCAGTTTTTCCCATTCTTATGCTGACCAAAAGTATTAGACTTCAAATATATATAATCCTGGATAGGAGAGGTCTGGACTTCAAAGCATCTGAAGAAGACCAAGGTGAAGAAAGACGAGGTAAACGTAAGGTCTAATCTCGCCAGCCGACTCTGAAAATGGAAACAAACAATAACATTTTGAAATGCATTGAGGCATGATAACCTCAGATATTTCTAAACTTTGTTTCTCCTTTGACTACTCTATCTCTTAGGGATAAGTTGTGTGGCCCTGTGTGACTTTTCCACTTCTTAGGGGTGGAGATTTGTGGCCCTCCAAATGTTTCTGAAATACAGTTCCCCGCAATCTCTCCTCCCTCTTGTTGGAGAAGAAAAACCAGAGCTGGTGGGTGGAGTTAAGTGTGTCATCAACTTAGAATCATTACATTCCCATAAATAGTCTAAATGCAATCTGTCTTGAATTCTGTTGACCCTTATCTGCTGCCAATTTAGTACTGAACTTTAGTTGACTAGATTCTTGTGTATAAACTTGAGCGATAAATCTTCTGCACTGCAATTTAACATATGGTCCTGATCCTTTGTGCCTGACAATTATGATGAGAATAGTAGTTCAACAATTCCTGAAAGATTCATACCTCTCTTATTTCCCTGTTTACCCATCTTGCTTTTCATGGACCAATGAAAAGTTTGAGTCCCCAAACAGATATTTTACCCCAGCAAGAGTTAGATCTAAAGTACCTTGATCCTGGAAATATTAAAAATGCTATGTTTAAAATTTGATAACTCAATGATCCAAGGTTTTTTTTAGAAGCTTCAAATACTGTATTGCTGATTAGTATCAAGATTTTTATTCATGTGCTATGGAAATGGTTATAGAAAGGACTTGGATTAAACCAGGGTTTATTAATAACGATCAAAATAATGCAGAAACTTGGGTTACCAGATGGGCAGATTCAGTATAACTAATTTGATATTTTATTTTCCATCCGTATTAGTACCCAAAGAG